TTTAGGCGTTGTGGCGTTGCACAATTTTGCAACAGAGCGAATAGAAAGTGAAATGAATGATGTGGATTGGAATGATGATGACGATGAACCTGCAGAACCTTCCGGAACTGCAGACGCAAGTGGAAACGCTAAATGCAAGTTAATTATCGCCCGCTATTTTACGTAGGCACCTGACGTACATGTATAAGTTAAAGTAAGGACAGGAAGACTACTCTCAGCAGAAAAGTTGCAACTTGGTTAAAGGGTCAATACAACTTTGCCCCCAAAACCCCCTTTTTGCCCTGCTTTCGGCAGCACGGACACTTGCGTCGTGTTATTTGTCTCTTCTTATACCATAATGGCTCACCCAAACTGTTAACAGGAATAAAAGGAACTGTAATGTACCTTATCATAATTTGTTCATTTTGTCATATTAATCATATTTTTTTACAATTCGTTCAGCTTCAGCATGGGTTTCAACACACCAGCTACTAATGATACACATCTTCATATTCTTGTGACACATCTGGGAAACCTATTCCCATTTGCATGCATTGATTCTTAAGTTTCCACTCTTTTAATTGAAGAATCCTCATTTTCGCTTCGTGTTCCCTTCTGGCTAAGGTTAAGAATGGATCTTTATCTATTTGGTCTTCTTGTTCACATGCATATCTGGCACTGTTAACAGAAATATATTTCAAATTATTATTTTGCAAATTGTCAGGAACTGATAAATAAATAATAGAGGATAATTAAAATTGCAAATTCGCTTACACAACAACGGATTCTTTCATAGTTTACTTTCGCCTTGCAGTCCTTTTTCTGTCGTGGCTTGAACTGGTACTCGGCATACTGCATTGGACACTTGGTCCGGGTTCATCAGTGGCGTTGATCACAGAGCTGTTGACTGCTCATGCAGCAAGTTCAACAGAGTCATCATCGAACTGATTTTCCAGTAGATTCGCTGACGCTGGAATAACGTCTGCAACCAGCTTACCAAGTTCTTTACTAATAGCATTTCCCTCAGTTGCTCATCAAATTCCTTTTTCGTTTGCAGTTTCATGCGCTTCCAACATCCCTAAATTGCTTTCATATCGCGCTTGTTACCATCAGGATTTCCGGCGTTGAAACTTTGCACAACTTTTTCCCACGATGACTGTTTCCTTTTAAGATGACATTGTTATATCCTTTGCTTTCTATATCGGGATATTGCTTCCCGAGCTCGGCAAGTAGAAGTTTTTCTTTTTGGCTCAAATTTGCATTTCGAGATTTGGACGCCGTTGTTTCATCTGGCCTCTTCAAAATTCTGAACACGCGGTTTTTGGAAAACAATAGGAATTTTAGTTAAACCACGCTTAGACGTGGTCTCCGTGGGATGCGGCTCGACTGCTTTTAAATAATGCGAATTAGACCACGCCTAGCCGTGGTCTTTGGAGGCCTTATCTAAACCTCGATTTAGTCAAAAACCAGGTCTAAACTAAACTTCGTTTAAATATTCGGCCCACATGTGTCTTATGTGTCTTTGTGTTTTGCCTTCCGATTTTAAATAGTTCGAGTTAGTTAAAAGAATATGGATAACTTCGGATGCACATCCAAGTAGGAGTAGACAGTCGCCGTTAAAACATGTTTATTGAGATATTTTCTTTATTTCTACAATTCTCAGTTTGAAACGTAGCTTTAGCCCTAGTAACTTACAATGTCATCTATAATTAATCTTCCAATAAACAAAATCTCCACTTAATGATCAACTGCTCTGGAGTATTCTCCATCAATGAATTACTTAGCAACACCTTGAACAAATGGAACGAAACAACTCTGTATATCGCAACGTGAAGCTTAACTAACATTATCTGGGAAGTTGTGCTTCTTTCCGAAAGAAACCTAAATATTTAAGGCGATTGTTTAGTAAACACTTTGAATTTAGTTTCACTTAAAGTACAAATTATGAAAATTCTGCTGTTAGTCGTACCAGATCGAGGTAACTGAAAACTGAACCACTCCTTCTGAGTGTTTTTTGGGAACGTTTGATCCATTCGTCTTTATTTAAAATTATTTTGAAACTCGTTTAGCCATTTGACCTGTTTTACGTTCTTTGTGTCATCAGCGGTGGAAAGGAGATTATGAAAATCAACGATGGCAGTTTCAAGAAGATTTTAACTGGATGACGGTCCGACCTCAACCTGAAGAAACAGAGTGTCATCTACAATGTAGCGTCGTGAATGAAGTTTGTCGTGAGATACAAACTCGGGAGACCCACGCCCAATACTGGTGTTGTTTTTCCTAGGCCTTACAAAGCTTTCTGGGTAATTACCTGCTGTTAAATGCATGGTAACATTTTCCCGTTCGACTGGATCTTCCTGTTGATCAATCAGTGTAAGCTTCACTCTCTTATTGAAAGGCCAGGGTAATATAGCATCATATTCACCTTCCATTACAACAATATACACGGAAAGGTGAGTATTCACCTTAACTCTATCACCATTAGGATAAATCCATACCCTTAACTTGTAGCCATAACTTTCTGTCCTATCTGTATAGAATGGAGTACTTCCTATTCTATTTTTCTCCCCGGCCTTCGCTTGCCTCAAAACTTCACTAAAGCGTTCAATCTTCCAAATAAACGTCCGGGTCTCAAGTTTGACACAAGCTAAGTCAAGATGGGATTTCACGTCAGATTCAAGATGGGATTTTACTTCTCGTCGTTGAACCTATAAGGTAACATGTAATTATTTAGCTGAATCTCAACAGGACGTTTATGCTTTCATACTACACGTTAGCTGACAGCAAAAGTGTTTTCTACCCCTCTCCCCCATGACACATACTAAGTATAACCGAACCATGCAAAGGAAGGAAGCGTCCAACTGACACAGGTCTTTGTAAATTGGCATTGAGGTTCTGAAACCTGATGAGCGTATTTTAATGTAGACTTGAATTGCGTATGTCTCGACTAGGAATGTTTTGTACGCCCGACCTATTCCCTTTACACTTTCAGGTCTTGGTTTGTCAGTACATTTTACAGCTCATTGTGCTTAGCATGAAATAACGCAATGGAACTTGGCTGTAATCTAAGACAATGGCCAGTCGGGACGTGCGAGTCTAACCTCTCTCTTATTTACCATATCACATACGGGGCAAAATTACTGAACGCTGATTGGCCGAGACAGAAGACATTTTTTCTTAGTCACGAGGGCACTTTTGGTAATCAAGAGGGCATGATTACTTGATGGTGATTGGCTGAGCACACCTGCATTAAGTTGGTTTCCCGCTTCAAACGCATTTTGAAAAGGAATTTCAGAAACGCATCGCTTCTGAGTTTGATCTAAAGTAAACGCGGCTATTTCATCTTACATAAAAGAAAATCAACATGCAGGAAAGCGCAGTCTTTTGGTGGAAAAGCAAAAGGATTTTTCCATCCAAAAATGTTTTGGTTCGCAGCCTGAAAACGTTTGAGTGGGGACGGCTGCTGTCGCAGGAGGCATAGAGTTACAGAGCTTTATGGCATTAGTATCACAGGTCACCTTATTGGCGTAAAAAACAGTGTAAATTTTGTTGGTACGTAAAGTTTTCGCTGTAGAAAGGAGAGTGTTGGATTCAATAAGTTATTAAAGCTCGTTTGGACACCTGTTCATGTACCAGTCAAAGTAAATCC